TAACCATTCTTAACATAAGATTTTTAGTTATGACGGAGATTTGGCGAAAGATTTGAAAAGACCTGAGTGCAACACATCTTGTAAGCAACAATAGGATAAGCAGATGAAAACTAATTTGCGCACTTTTACTTTTTGTGTTAAATACAAGGCTGCGAAGAGCCGGGATCTTATTTAAAAATTTTTGTAGGCCTTTATTGGACCGGTCTATGAACGAGAAGACAAATTGCAAAAAAAGAAATGAGACTTAGAGCCTGTTTACATGGAGTGGAGGACCCCGGTCTATTGGGGTTGGTTTCTTTTGTTTTCACGCTCTGAGGGACACAAAACAAAAGAAACCTACCCCACTAGACCGGGGTCCCCCACTCCATGTAAACAGGGTCTTAAAAGAAAGAAAGAAAAACGTAAAAACAAAAAATGCAAAGAAGGTAGAGGGAAGAAACCCAAAATACAAGCGTGTTTAAACTCACAAGAAATTAGAAAAGTTAATAAAGTAAAAAAACAAAACAAAACAAAAGAAACAGAAACAAGTAAAAAGAAGTTATACGTTTCACAATGAAAGTACGCTGATCAAAACATGCACGACCAGTCTGTTTTAGTCTCCGTTGCAGCCGGCCCTGAACGCACTTGATAACAACACATGAGAATTAAACATCTCAATTCTTGACTCGTACCATAATAGTACTAATTTAAATTTGTAAAAAAGATTATTCGAAAGAGAGCACTTCACCGAGGTGTCCGCAAAAATGACAACTCTGTACAATTCAGATGCTGATTGTTGCACTTTAGTTTCGCTAAAAACAAATTCTACATTACCTATCCCCTCGCTCATGCATAGAAGGTTAATCCGTTTTTCACTTTTAGTGAAACAAAACCGAAGAATACATTCAGTGTCACGGTTTTCTTTGGTACTGTTCCTGCGGGATTGAATCGAATATTTCACTGAATCCCTGGATTTCAGTACTAAACTAATCGTTTCAAGAGAGTTTCAGTTTTTCTACTTCGTCTTTTTTCTGTGAGAGAGATTCCAGTGATTTTGTCGCTTGATTACCGACTGCATCAAAAACATCTTGTTTTCTCGCTTCCATGATCACAATAATTTTGTCTACACAAGACTGCACTTGGCATTTTACCTCGGTCTTTGGATTAAAATTGTTTTTTGATTGAATTGTTCGACTTCCTTTTGTTTTTCCAGTACTTTGTCTTTCAAAGATTTCATCACGGAGCTGATCTTTTTTTTGCGTGCGTCGGTAGTTTCTTAATTGCAAAGCATCTTAACATGATCTTCAAGGTATCTGCACGCTGAATTATACTCTATAAGTTAACACACCTTGGTCTGAAGGAAAAACAGTCCCTGTTATACTTCACTGCACCTTCAACCCCTCTGTGGTTGGAAGTCTAAGCTTGCATGGCCCAAAGGCCCACAGAAACTAAAGATTTTAATGGTAAAAATTTTCTGCAACTGCCATTTTTTCTGGAGCATTTTGTTAGACAGTATATATCAGGGATGACTTGGCCGAAGGTTGATTAATTTATGTACCTAAAGCTCCTTCATTCCTACTTTCGACTTTCTTGACCACCTCGCGCGGAAATGCCTTCCGGCAATTTATCCATTCTTCAAAGAGCTGATTAACAATTCTCGGAAATACATTTGATGACTTTTATTCTTCGGTCAAACTACCAAAACATGTCAAGAGACTCTATTTGATTGGTTAATAATACAGTGTTTAGTCTGGGTCACAAAACAAGACTTCATTGTGCATTTGCAAAGCCATTCTCTTGAAGCTTCTTGATCGCCAACAACTAGAGGCCAAAATTTTATGAAAAGTAACCTTGCTTCCGACCTTTTCCATGGATATAAAGACCTTGCTCGACAATCTTCATGATGAAGTATCCTGTTCCGTGTGTATGTGTACATTCACTGATCCAAAGCAGTTGCCTTGTTTGCACAATTTCTGTCTTCACTGCTTGAACGAAATTCAACGAACAAGCGGCGTCCATGGCAAAATTACATGCCCCGAGTGCAGAAGACAGTTTCAGATTTCTGGAAGTGGAACTCCCAGTGAACTTCCCACCAATTTTCGAATAAACAGCCTGCTAGATGTCTTGGCAATAAAAGAGTGTAGTACAGCTAACGTGAAGTGTGGAAACTGCGATAAAAGGAGTTCTCAGACCTCGTATTGCTTCCAGTGTTGTTCCTTCTGGTGCGAGAAATGCATTTTAGGACATGACATAATGCGTGCTAACAACAAACACAGAACGCTAGCACTAAAAGATTTTCAAGATCAAGACATCAAGGCTGTATTAGAGCGACCAGCATTTTGTCAGAAGAAACACCATGAAAAAGAAGAGCTGAAATTCTTTTGCAAGGGCTGTAAAGTCGCCATTTGTAGCACTTGTGCTGTAACACTTCATGAAGGTCATGGTAAGATGCCCTTGCAAGAAGCTACTGATGAGCGCAAAACACAGATTAGCTCCATGATAAAATCTTTAAAAGACAAAGTACTGGAAAAACAAAAGGAAGTCGAACAATTCAACCAAAAAAGCATCGCATTTCAATCGAAAGTAGCCGAGGTAAAAAGCCAAGTGCAGTCTTGTGTAGACCAAATTATTGCAATCATCGAAGCGAAAAAACAAGATGTTTTTAATGTGATTGATAATCAAGCGACAAAATCACTGGAATCTCTCTTACAGAAAAAAGGCGAAGTGGAAAAACAAGTGAAATTAATTGAATCAGCGATTGAACAAACTGAAACTCTGTTAAAACGAGGTTTTAGTTCTGAAATCAAGGGATTCACTGAAACATTTGATTCAATCCTGCAGGAACAGAGCACCAAAGAAAACCGCGACACTGAATGTATTCCTTGGTTTAGTTTCACTAAAAGTGAAAAACTGATTAACCTGTTGAACATGAGCGAGGGGATAGGTAAAGTAGAGTTTGTTTTTAGCGAAATTGAAGCGCAACAATCAGGAACTAAAGGTAAAGTAAGTAATAAAGTAGTTGCTGGGAATAAAGGGGCAAATTTTTGTGAAAGTCCTTTTGAGGCTCAAGTAAAAACCAGGCGCTTCAGATCTGTGCTGTCATTTGGACAAAAAGGTGAGTCTGTTGGAGTGCTTAACGTTCCCTATGGGGTGGCAGTGAATGATCAGGATGAAATTGCTGTGACTGAGCTCGGTAATAACAGGGTTTCAGTGTTTAGTAGTGACGGTACCCACTTAAGATCCTTTGGTAGGAAGGGTCAGAATAATGGTGAGTTCCAGGGCCCTAAAGGGATCGCTTTTGATAGTCATGGCAATATTGTAGTGGCAGACTGTTATAACCACAGGGTGCAAGTCTTTGATCGGAATGGCAACTTTCTTAGTATGTTTGGTGAACAAGGAAGTCGTGAGAATCAGCTTGAATCCCCTCAAGGTTTATCAGTAAACGGCAACGGTGATATTATTGTTGCTGATAAAGGTAACAAATTAATCAAGATATTCTCTTCTAGCGGGAAGTATTCACGTAAATTTGGTGGAGCAGGTTCTTTGGTCTCTCCCATTCACTGTATTCAACACGGTCAATATTTTATAGTCTCAGATCGTGGTAATCATTCGATTAAAATGTTTAATCTGGAGGGAAACTTTATTTCTAAATTTGGAAAACGGGGAATCAAGGATGGAGAATTCAACGAGCCGCGTTACTTGTCAGTTAACAAAGAAGGATTGCTTATGGTCTGTGATGAAAATAATCATAGGGTTCAGGTACTTGATCTGAGTGGAAAGTGTGTTACAAACTTTGGAAGTGAAGGTAGCGGGAGAGGAGAGTTTAAGTGGCCAGTGTCTACAGCAACTCTTAGTGATGGAAGGATAGTTGTGTGTGATAAGGATAACCGAATCCAGGTTTTTGACCAGTTATAACATGATTTTTCTAGTGGTATTAATTTTGAAACGTTCAAATTGCCTTCTTTATGTAGAAAAAGAAAGCGTAACTTTGCGAACAACATACTGAGTTCGTGAGGTATTTGTCACTGTTGACTTTAATAATAGCTGATAAATGACATTCAACTTGTAAATATATTTTGTAATCCTTTTTCAATTCTATTGTAGTCTCATTTAATGCCGATTATAGTTTAATAAGGTTGTTCAATTTTTTGGTATCAAAATTGTTTTGTATATTGCACACCTTTTCATTTTCTTTCCAGCAGTTGCTAGTTGTGTGTATTTTTGGAGGTATTTTTCCCTCGCCCTCAGCTCAAGTACCATTTTTTTTTCTCGTCAGGTTCTTCAGGTCCGTTAAATTATAACATATATATTTACCGAATTGTATAGCGTTTTGTTGAAAATGCATTAAAGGATAATCAAATAAGAAGAATGTTTTTTTTCTTCAGCACGCGTGTACTAATTGAGGACACTATTTTTACGTCTCTTCTCGGAGAATGGACCATCATTGCTATGCCCAGTGATCATCCGTGCCACGTATAGGTCTACTGAGCAGTTTGTAGGACAAGACAACAGTGTAATCGAACCCCTCTTTAATCAAAAAACCGAAAAATCATCTCTTTGCCGATTTTTTCACCTGATTTTACTGACATTAAATGGCCAGATTTGGTTGTTTTTTGATGAAAAGTGGATTTTTGTCAAATCTCTTGGTACTTTTTCTTGAGGACAAACTCATAGTACTTTTGCTTGAAGACACTCATTTTTTGTCCCTGGGGAAAAAAAAGCCGTTACACAGTTTTCTCTTAATTCAACCCCCTTAATACGGACACTTTCGTCTCATTCCAATCTTTTTTCAAGAAGACTATCGGCAGTCACTGTTTGGACCTACAAAAGCAAATTTACCGTTTGCTTTCTACATAGTTTGCATTTCGACCCAAAGGATTTCTAGATAAAACAGGGCGTGGCTGGTCACGTGATGCACATGAACTTTGAAGATTTCTTAGTTATGATTAGCCTTAATTTATTAGACCTGGGATACCGTAAAATTCCGAAACCAAGCCCCGGGGATTATATTTTTCAAAGGCCCTTTTTGAGGAGCTTATCTTTGGAGGGGCTCACCTACGGAGGGAAAGATGCGTTTCAAAATCGACTGGGCTAGCCTTATAGTTGGAAGTAAAATTACCATTTTCGCTTTGTTTTACCTTGTATTTGAGGGCAATTTTCCAGGTACAAGCCCCCGGGGCTTATGTTAGGAGGGGCGATTTAACGGAGGGTTTTTTGCGTTACCTGACTGGGGGGCTTATATTTTGAGGGGCTTATTTTCGGAAATTTACGGTATCTTAAAAACAAAAGTTACATTTGACCAACCCCCCTTCAAAATTCTGAGGAATTTGTAAAGAACCAAGCCTTAATCAATTTGAGCCGTCAGGTGCTTTGAGATTGGTCAAAATTTGCTAAATGATGTACACGTGGACATGTGCTCTATCCTCGCCGATATTGCTAATTACGATCTTAATAGCTAGAATTGAAAGCCTAAGGGGTCCACGGAGAATAATATGCATGGGTCCATATGGACCCAAAACAACCAAAGCAGACGACAAAGAGTTTTATTAAGCAATAGACTACACTTTCTATGGGCTGACCGGCGTGATAATCCCCTTGGCTCGTGATTTACAAGCTTTTCGAGTGTTCTCCCAACATCCCGCGTGGGTTATCACGCCCGTAAACCCATAGAAAGTGTGGTCCATTGCTTTTATAAAATAACTTTAAGTTTTCCATGAGTTTACCGGCACGATAAACCGTAGGTTTTTAACCCATCAGAACGCGCGTACTATCTTAGTTATTCTATAAAGGTAGATATCTGTTAAATCTACTATAAATACTTCAGTTCAGGGCATGTACTACAAGCTGTACGCAAGTGCAACCTGCGTAGCAAGTGCATGAAGGGGAGGGGAGAGAAAGAACATGGGAGCAGATATGGTTATCTCCTCTCCCCTCTCCTCTTGTCCTTAACTTATCTTCAGTCTGTTTAGCAGCATGGGTTCCTCATTGAAGGAGTCTCCTTCAATAACACCTTCAATAGTCACCTGATAAAGTAGCTCTCCACTGGTCCCTTGCGCTTCCTCACCAGTCACTCGCGTTTCGCGCTCGCCTCTATGAGAAACCGTGGGAAAAACGAAGTGCCTGGGGAGGAGGCTGAGCTCGCCGCGAATCAAATTCCGAGCTGTTTTAAAAAAACTGGATTCGAACTCTTGCTGAGCTTTGTCATTACCCTTCTCTTTTTTCATTCAATTAATGTTACTCTTTTTCCGCATGCTTTATTCAGAGCATCTAACAGTGAGTGGCTTTTTCTATAGTAAAATGACAAGTGAAGTAAAGAAAAGAAACTTTCGTGCTGGTGAACCTTTGTGGAACAGCTTTTATCAAAGAGATCGCCAAATTTGGTGTATAGTATTACTTATGTGTTAGTACACATGCAACGGAAACAAAAATAAAGTTTTGAGCGTTTCATTAGACATCGAGGAGTTATTGGGTTACTCTTCCTTCTCAAGTTTCCTCTTTCTGAGTTCGGATCAGTTTGGAACTTAGAGCTACCTAATTTAGAGGTTAAATAGGCAGTTTTTTTTTACCGTATTTTCCAGCCTACGAAATGACATCAAATTTTGACACCATTTAGACAAACCCCACACAATAAAATACACAGGTAGCTATAGCCTATTTCAAATCAAACACTTCGAAAGATAAGGACACTATGCGACCATTATCTGTTGTTAAAGATACTGCAGGAGATGTAGCCTGTGAGCAGGCTCTCTGTTTGGGGGAAAAAAATCGCGAGGAGAGGGAAGGGAAAGAGGGAAAGAGGCCTTTTCGCTTTTTCCTCTCCCCAGTTCCCCGTTCGACTGAAGGCCTGTTCACAGACAACAGGAGATGTGATTTGATTAGATGTGTTTCAACGCCTCTGTGGTTGGAAGTCTATTAAGCTTGGCTCAAAAGGCCCACAGAAGTTTAAGAATTAGTAAAAATTTTCTGCAACTACCTTTTTTTGTGGAGGACTTTGTTGCGCAGTATTAAGGAGACTTGACCGAAGGTTGATTAATATATTTGCTGAAAACACTCAGATTAACGAGCACTATCTTGGACAAAATTCGATGGAAAATAAATCCGTCCTTCATCATGTAAAATAAAAGATGGGGAAATGGAGCGTTTTGTCTTTCGCGTGGCTTTTTTGATTCTGATTTTGGGCCAACCGGGACTTGCTTTCCCAGTTTAATCTGTCCAAGAATTGTACGCGTGTGTAACGTGCTGAGTGTTCTGGTGTTTACAAATACAAAAAATATCCATAGTCCATTCTTTTAAATAAGCCTGCGTAGCAACGTTTTCCGAACCAATTTATACTAGGGAGAGAACGCTCTTTCAAAGAGCTGATTAACAATTTTAGGAAATACAGGATGTTATTTATTCTTCCGTGACACCATCAAAACATGTCAAGAAACTCTATTTGATTGGCTAATAATACAGAGTTTAGTATGGTGTTGTACCCAATTCAAACCCTTTGGGAATAAAACTTTTTGTTTCAGGAATTTCCATACATTCAAATGAGAATGCCACATTATAATGCAAATACAATACACAAAGAATCTTAACCCCGGGAGATTTGAATTGGGTACAACACTGAGTTAGCCGAATAGATCTATTGTTCATTCTCAACAACAACCAGCTAGGCCAAATTTTTTAAAAAGTAACCTTGTTTCCGACCTTTTCCATGGATATAAAGACCTTGCTGGACAATATTCATGATGAAGTATCCTGTTCTGTGTGTATGTGTACATTCACTGATCCAAAGCAGTTGCCTTGTTTGCACAATTTCTGTCTTAACTGCCTAAACGCAGTTCAACGAACGAGCGGCGTCCGTGGTAAAATTACATGCCCCGAATGTAGGAGACAGTTTCAGATTTCTGGAAGTGGAAATCCCTGCGAACTTCCCACCAATTTTCGAATTAACAGCCTGCTAGATGTCTTGGCAATTAAAGAGTGCAGTACAGTCAACGTCAAGTGTAGAAACTGCGACAAACGAAGCGCCCAGACTTTATATTGCTTCCAGTGTTGTTCCTTCTGGTGTGAAGAATGTATTGTAGGACATAACATAATGCGGGAAAATAAACATAACGCTAGCGCTGAAAGATTTTCAAGATCAAGACATCAAAGCTGTATTAGAGCGACCAGCATTTTGTCAGAAGAAACACCATGAAAACAAAGAGCTGGAGCTCTTTTGCAGGAACTGTAAAGTCGCCACTTGTAGCGCTTGTGCCATGACACTTTATGAAGGTCATGGTAAGATGCTTTTGCAAGAAGCTACAGATGCCCGCGAGACACAGATCAACTCCACTATTAAATGTTTGAAAGATAAAGCACTGAAAAAACGAAAGGAAGTCGAAAAAATCAACCAAGAGAGCGCTGAATTTCAATCGCAAGTAGCCGAGGTAAAAAGCCAAGTGCAGTCTTGTGTAGACCAAATTATTGCAATCATCGAAGCGAAGAAACAAGATGTTTTTTGAGAAGATTGATGATCAAACTAAAAAATCACTCGGATCTCTTTCAGAGAAAAAAAGCGAAGTTGAAAAACAAGTGAAATTAATTGAATCAGCAATTGAACAAACTGAAACTCTGTTGAAACGAAGCTTTAGCACTGAAATCCTTGGATTCAGTGAAACATTTGATACAATCCCACAGGAACAGAGCCCTCAAGGAAACTGTGACACTGAATATATTCCTCGCTTTAGTTTCACTAAAAGTGAAAAACTGATTAACCAGTTGAGCATGAGTGAGGGGATAGGTAATGTAGAATTTGTTTTTAGCGAATTTAAAGCAAAACAATCAGGTACTAAAGGTAAAGAAAGTAGTAAAGTAATTTCGGGGAATAAAGGGGAAAATGTTCATGACAGTCCTCTTGAGACTCAGGTTCAAACCAGGCGTTTCAGATCTGTGCTGTCATTTGGACAAAAAGGTAAGTCTGTTGGAATGCTTAAGTGGCCCTGGGGTGTGGCAGTGAATGATCAGGGTGAAATTGCTGTGACTGAGTACTGGAACCACAGGGTTTCATTGTTTAATAGTGACGGTACCCACTTAAGATCGTTTGGTAGATTCGGTAAGAATAATGGTGAGTTTAAGTACCCTTCAGGGATCGCTTTTGATAGTCTTGGTAATATTGTAGTGGCAGACTATGTTAACCACAGAGTGCAAGTATTTGATAGCAATGGTAACTTTCTTAGTAAGTTTAGTAAACAAGGAAGTCGTGATAAATATCAGCTTAAATACCCTGAAGGTTTATAATTATCAATAAACGGTAATGGTGATCTTATTGTTACTAGTCAGGGTAACAAATTAATCAAGATATTCTCTTCTAGTGGGGAGTATTTACGTAAATTTGGTGGAGCAGGTTCTTTGGTCAGTCCCCATCACTGCATTCAACATGGCCAATATTTTATAGTCTCAGATTATGGTGATCATTCCATTAAAATTTTTAATCTTGAGGGAAAGTTTATTTCTAAATTTGGAAAACAGGGAAACAAGGATGGAGAGTTCAATATGCCCCGTTGCTTGTCAGTTAACAAAGAAGGATTGCTAATGGTCTGTGATGGAAGTAATCACAGAGTTCAGGTATTTGAACTGAGTGGAAAGTTTGTTACAAAATTTGGAAGTGAAGGTATTGAGGGAGGAGAGTTTAAGTTTCCAGTGTCTACAGCAAATCTTAGCGATGGACGGATAGTTGTGTGTGATAAGAACAATGACCGAATCCAGGTTTTTGACAAGATATAATATGATCTTACTAGTGGTATTATTGTGGAAAAGTCCAAATTGCTTATCTAGAATAAGAAAATGCAATGTGTAGTTGCAGAAAATATCCATAGCCAGCAACCCCCCCCCCCCACACACACACACACACATACGGAAATTCCGAGGGGAGGGGGAGTTCAAAAGAAGGCAATTCCCGAGGGGTTGGGGGGTTGCTTACAGAGGTTTTTTCCAGGGGGTCTGAGTAAGGTTGGTGGGTGAGTTGTTTACAGGTTAACCACTCAGCGAGTGAATTATCGGGATTTACCTGCACGAGATCCCCAACAATGAACGAGAAATTTCGATACCGTACGAGTTCATTGTTAGTGAATGAGTACAGGTAAATCCCGATAATTATTTTACGAGCAATGAGTGCGTTAACATTTATATAATTTATATTATGAGTTTAAGTGTCCAGTGTCTGCAGCAAATCTTAGTGATGGACGGATAGTTGTGTGTGATATGAACAACAACCGAATCCAGGTTTTTGACAAGATATAATATGATCTTATCAGCGGTATTCAGTGGCAGATCCAGACCCTCAGATAAGGGGGGCATCATCCAGACCCTCAGATAGGGGCGGGGGGGAGGCAGTCATCCAGACCCTCAGATAAGGGGGCCCAGTCTCCAAAACAATTTTATTCGTCCTTCAGGCCTCATTTTGGTCGAAAAATAAGAGGGGGGGGGGCCTCCCCTGTATCTGCTACTGATATTATTGTTGTATGGTTCAAATTGCTCAAATCTAGAATAAGAAACTGTAATTTTTTGAACACCATCTCATGAGGTATTTGTCACTGTTGACCTTAGTTGTGGGGGGGGGGAGGGGTGGGTGGGGCTTATTTGGTTGTTCTCACGCGTAGTTTGTATTTTCTGTGAATGTTACAATACATTATACAATCGTGGCTGCAATAGTAGCTGTAATCATAACTGTAATAAAAGCTGAAATTACGTTCAACTTGTAAATATATTTTGTTATCCTTTTTTCATATGTACTGTAGTCTCATTTAATTTCCGAATATAGTTTAATAAGGAGTTTAAATTGTTTGGTATCAAAATTGTTTTGTATGTTGTACACCTTTTCATTTTCTTTCCAGCAGTTGCTAGTTGTTAGCCAGTGTATTTTTGGAAATATTATTCCCGAGCCCTTAGCTCAAGTACGGTTTTTTTTCGAAACAGGTCCGTTGATTATAACATACATTAACCGAATTGTATAACGATTTGTTGAAAACGCGTTAAAGGATAATCAAAAATAAAGAATGCTTTTTTGTTCAAATTTTATCGTTGTCAATGAGACCGTCATGTGTTGAAGAATGGACCAGTGTGTCCAGTGTCCAGTGATCATCCGAGTCACGTGTAGGTCAACTGAGCAGTTTGCAGGACAAGGCAACAGCACAGTCGAACCACTCTTTAAGGACACCCGCTCCATACAGACACCTCATTTTTGTCCTTGGTAAAAATAGACCCTTACATTTTCTCTTAATTCAACCCCCTTAATACGGACACTTTTTATGCCCCCCTCAGTGTCTTTAGTCACGGGGTTTGACTCAGTTCCTTAGTTATTTTAAGACCCTCAGTATTGGTCCGGTTCCGTGACTTCCCTCTCCTGCAGTCAAACGCTCTACAGCATACAGGCTGAGTTAACCTTTTCGTTTAATTGGGGTAGATATCTGTTAAATCTACCATAAACTCGTCAGTTTAGTGCATGAACTACAAGCTGTACGCAAGTGTAACCTGCGTGGCAAGCGCATGAAGGGGAGGGGAGAAGAAGGACACGAGAGCAGATAACTGTTCTCTCCTCTCCTCTTGCATGTCCTTATCTCATCTTACCCTAAATCCTCTATTAAGTCCCACCCCTCTAATAAGTCCTCTCCTTCTTGTTAGCTCAACCTTTTCAGGGAAGGAAAGTTAATAACCTTCCCCCATCTCTATTAAGCCCAACCTTCCCTCCCCTAATTATTTTACACTAATAAATGATAGACTGTATTAATCAATCAAGACCGTAAAAATTTGTGTGGGCTGATCCGGGATGGTTTATTTACCAACTGGTAGTTCGGATTTGGCTCTGATCCTCGGCTACATGACCTTCAACCTTCTTGTTCTTCAGCTTCTCCACTTTGTATTCTAGTTCTTTATGGAGAACTGATAAGATAGGGACAAGAGGAGGGGGGAGGGGAGGGGATTATAGAGGGGATTAAGGAGACTCCTGCATTAAGGAACCCTAGTTTGCTAAACAGGACGGTTTGGGTGGGGCGGGGGGGATGAGGTGGGAGGGGATGGTGAATTTTCACCAAATTCCCTGCTCAACCTTGCAAAAGCCAATACGAGCAATTGTGTCCCAAAAACTGTCCCAGAGTTCAATTCGTTTCTGTACCGTCCCAGGCTCCTCACACGTGAAGTTAAAATGACCAAATAAGGTCACTACAAGTGTTTTCCGGGGAGCGCGTACTAGAATTCCCTCGGTTAATCACCGTGTTACACTCAACTCTTTGAGACGACCGTTGAACCGTTTATTACTGTTACCCTAGAGAAGCGTCCGCCTTGTAGAAAGTAGTGGGAGGGGACAACTTCAGATGATCATTAATTTTAATGAGCTGTTAGTTTGCTTTCACAATCGCACACAGACAGCCCTGTGTCACCTGATAAAGTAGCTCGCCGTGCGAAATCAAATTCTGAACTGTGTTTTAAAAAAAAAACTAGATTCAAACCATTACTGAGATTTGTCATTAGGCTTCTTCTCGTCTTTCATTCAATTACTGTTGTATTTTCCGCAGGTTTTATTCAAGAACTCAAAAGCATCTAACAGTGAGTGGAGTTAAGTAAAGAAAAGAAACTTACCTAAATGTGAACCTTTGTGGAACAGCTTTGTTCGAAGAGATCGCCAAATCTGGTGTACAGTTTTACGTATGTGTTAGTACACGGGTAACGGAAACGAAAACAAAGTTTGGAGCGCAATGGTTGTTTCGAGTGCGTTAATGCTGGCCAGAAAACTGTCGGCAGCAGCTAAGAGCAACGTTTCATCAGACATCGAGGAGTTATTGGGTTGACCTTGTCTACTCTTCCTTCTCATATTTCCTCTTTAATTGTGAGTTTGGACCAGTTTGGAACTTATAGAGCTACACAATTAACAGGTTAAGCCGGCAGTTTTTTTTTTTTACCGTATTTTCCAGCCAACGAAATGACATTAACTTTTGACACTAATTTAGACAAACCTTACCTAGCTACAAAGGAAAATAAACAAGCAGTTACAGCCTATTTCAAATCAAACACTTCGAAAGGTAAGGACATATTATTACATGCGTCCATTATTTCTTGTTGAAGATACTGCAGGAGATGTGAAAGACGATGACCACATGACTACAATGATGATGATGAGGATGATGAGAATAGAAGTAATGATGATGATATTGATGACTTTGACGAGGACAATGACTCTAAATCAGAGGTGAATCATAGGACGAAAGTAAATGATGAGCCACAGAAAGAAAAGCGTTGGACACTGCTGAAGAAGGATCGCCTAAGAAGAAGGTTTGCTCTGAATTCATTTACATTCCTACAAATGCAAAATGTACCATGTTTCTGTACCAAACCATGGTGCAGCTACCACGGTAAATTTGTCTTCGGTTTCCCGTTTCTAATGGTGACCAGTTTTCATCCACTATTTACCTTGAATGTGAATTCAGAACTGCAAAGAAACGCAGCATAACCACCGCTTTTGCAATTTTTCCCGCGCTTTTTATCTGAGCACTGCGCTAAACTATCATAAGCTTCGATCTATAAAACAGGACAATTTTTTAACCATTCTTAACATGACTGGATAGTTATGACGGAGATTTGGCGAAAAAGTTGAAAAGAGCAGTGCAACACATATTGTAAGCAACAATAGGGTACTAAGATAATGAAAACTAATTTGCGCACTTTTACTTTTTGTGGTAAAATACAAGGCTGCGAAGAGGCGGGTTCTTATTTACAAATTTTTGTAGGCCTAAACGAAAAGACAAATTGCAAAAAAATATGAGACTAAAAAGAAAGAAAGAAAGAAAAACGGAAAAAAAAATTGTAAAGAAGGTAGAGGGAAGAAACCCAAAATACAAGCGTATTTAAACTCAGAATTAATTAGAAAAGTTAATATTGAAAGTAAAAAATCAAAGCAAAACAATCAAAAACAATCAAAAATAGTTATATGTTTAACAATGAAAGCACGCTGATCAAAACATACACGACCAATCTGTTTTAGCCTGCATTGCAGCCGCCCATGCACTCGTCTGAATCATTTGTATAGTCTCTACCGAAGGTTTAGAGCATCTGCGACGCAATCAAATCTGTTTCTACTCGCTACTTTCACATTTATTACTTTTCATGATTCACAAAAAATGTTGTGGGGCAAACAAAGTGTATTATTTGAAATATGACAGTGGGAGAATAGACTCTGTTCTTTCTTTTTGTCATTGGAAACAAGGCTTTAATTTGGACTTGATAAGTTAAAATATTTTATTAGCGATGTAACTAATAACTATTCGTGTCGCGTCCGCTCTAACCTCTTGCTTTTATAGGGTAGACAAAAGGAACAAGGATCGACCAGAGTTGACTAAGTCACCATCATGGATTTGGAAGTTTATTAATAAGGGCCTTCTCGTACCAGTTAATGAATTTCTTGTATAAATTTACGGCTCCCGATCACTTGACGGGTTTCAATTACAGAACACCTCGAAGTCTTCAATCGCGCTCTGAGCGGGTCAAGTCCTCTACCGCCGCCTGTCAAAAGAAGTGAGCTTGGTCAAATGAGTTTCCCGACTGAGGCTGATCGAATAGCTTAACTATTAAAATGAATGTTACGTAATCATAGATTTATTTCGTCAAACGAAAATATGGTCGCTGATAATTGCTCTTTTGACCAAACAATTGTTGTAATAAAAGTTTGAAAAAAGGAATTTGACTTAGTTTTATACCCCACCTTGTGAATCTCATCTCTTTTAAGATTTTCAATGCCAACTGTCTACTTAGACGAAGAAAAAACAACTTTTAAAATCTTGTCCCCGAATCATCCTTGATAAAAACAAATGAGAATAAAACTGTCTCAATTCTTGACTCGTGGTATGAGAGCACTTTACCGAGGTGTCCGTAAAAAATGGCAACTGCAGACAATTCAGAAGGAAATGACTCTTTACTCCTGGCCAGTTCAGTTTTATTTTAACATTAACGGCATTTTTCCTCTCAGCGAACTTAAGCAGTATGAGAGCGGATTAACAGATCCTTTTGTCGCAAAACCTTTTTTTTTCAATCCAGTTCTCTGTCTTTTAAGGGAACTATTAATAGCAGACAACTAAATTCCGATTAAAGCTTCTAAACTGACATTAAAAAGGAACCACCGCTTTAAAGTTACTTCATGTTTTGACTTAATTCGTATGGCTTTTCCATAAGTGCATGCTCCTTTAAAATCCTGATAGAAGCAACTTCAAGACACCTGCACACTGAATTATGCTCTATAAGCTAACACACCTTGGTCTTAAGGAAAAACAGTCCCTGTTATACTTCACTGCACCTTCAACCCCTCTGTGGTTGGAAGTCTAAGCTTGGCCCAAAGGCCCACAGAAACTTAAGATTTTAATAGTATAGTAAAAATTTTCTGCAACTGCCATTTGTTCTGGAGGATTTTTTTGGACTGGGATGACTTGGCCGAAGGTTGCTTAATATACTGATTTGCTGGAAACACAAAGATTAACGACCACAATCCTGGACAAAATAAACGGGAAATTAATCCGTCCTCTCTCCAGTAAAATAAAGGATGGGGAAATGGCGCATTTTGGCTTTCGCGTGGCTTTTTTGCTCCTGATCTTTGAGTCAACCGTGGGAATTGCTTTCCCAGTTTAATGTGTCCAAGGATTGTACGCGTGTGTAACGTGCTGAGAGTACACAATTATTAAAAAAAAACTTTCAGTAGTCAATGCTTTAGCCTGCGTAGCAAACTTTTCCGGACTAAATAGGCAGAAAGATCTCCTTCATTCCTCTATTTTACTCTCGCCCGCCCTTTATTACGACGTGGCGCGGAAATGCTTGCCGGCAGGCTGTCCATGCTTCAAAGAGCTGATTGATAATTCTCGGATCTTCCGTCAAACCATCAAAACATGTCAAGAAACTCTATTTGATTGGTTGATAACACAGTGTTTAGTCTGGGTCACAAGACAAGACTTCATTGTTCATTCGCAAAGCCATTCCCTTGATCGTCAACAACTAGGCCAGAATCATTAGAAAGTAACCTTGATTCCGAACTTTTCCATGGATATAAAGACCTTGCTGGATAATCTTCATGATGAAGTATCCTGTTCTGTGTGTATGTGTACATTCACTGATCCAAAGCAGTTGCCTTGTTTGCACAGTTTCTGTCTTCACTGCCTGAACGGAATTCAACGAACGAGCGGCGTCCATGGAAAAATTACATGCCCCGAGTGCAGGAGACAGTTTCAGATTTCTGGAAGTGGAAATCCCAGCGAACTTCCCACCAATTTTCGAATAAACAGCCTGCTAGATGTCTTGGCAATAAAAGAGTGCAGTACAGTCAACGTCAAATGCAGGAACTGCGAAAAACGAAGCGCCCAGACCTTATATTGCTTCCAGTGTTGTTCCTTCTGGTGTGAAGAATGTATTGTAGGACATAACATAATGCGAGAAAACAAAGACCACAAAACGCTAGCGTTGAAAGATTTTCAAGATCAAGACATCAAAGCTGTTTTAGAGCGACCAGCATTTTGTCAGAAGAAACACCATGAAAAAGAAGAGCTGAAGTTCTTTTGCAAGGGCTGTAAAGTCGCCATTTGTAGCACTTGTGCCATGACAATTCATGAAGGTCATGGTAAGATGCCCTTGCAAGAAGCTACTGAAGAGCGCAAAACACGGATTAGCTCCATGACAAAATCTTTGAAAGACAAAGTACTAGAAAAACAAAAGGAAGTCGAGCAATTCAACCAAAAAAGCATCGCATTTCAATCGAAAGTAGCCGAGGTAAAAAGCCAAGTGCAGTCTTGTGTAGACCAAATTATTGCAATCATCGAAGCGAGGAAACAAGATGTTTTTGATGCAGTCGATAATCAAGCCAAAAAATTACTGGAATCTCTCTCACAGAAAAAAGAAGAAGTGGAAAAACAATTAAAAATAATTGAATCTGCAATTGAACAAACTGAAACTCTTTTGAAACGAAGCTTTAGCACTGAAATCCTTGGATTCAGTGAAACATTTGATGCAATCCTGCGGGAACAGGACACCCAAGGAAACCGTGACATCGAATGTATTCCTCGGTTTAGTTTCACTAAAAGTGAAAAACTGATTAACGTGTTGAGCATGAGCGAGGGGATAGGTAGAGTAGAATTTGTTTTTAGCGAAACTAAAGCGCAGCAATCAGGAACTAAAGGTAAAGAAAGCAGTAAAGTAATTGCTGGGAATAGACTGGCAAATGTTCATGACAGTTCTCTTGAGACTCAGGTACAAACCAGGTGTTTCAGATCTGTGCTGTCATTTGGACGATACGGTAAGTCTGTTGGAATGCTTAACCAGCCCTGGGGGGTGGCAGTGAATGATCGTGATGAAATTGCTGTGACTGAGTGGGGTAGCTACGAGGTTTCAGTGTTTAGTAGTGACGGTACCCACTTAAGATCGTTTGGTAGACCCGGTAAGAATAATGGTGAGTTCTGGGGCCCTGCAGGGATCGCTTTTGATAGTCATGGCAATATTGTAGTGGCAGACTGTTTTAACCACAGGGTGCAAGTCTTTGATCGGAATGGTAACTTTCTTAGTAAGTTTGGTGAATATGGAAGTCGTGATAATCAGCTTAAAAACCCTAAAGGTCTATCAGTAAACGGTAACGGTGATATTATTGTTGTAGATACCCGTAACAAATTAATCAAGATATTCTCTTCTAGTGGCGAGTATTTACGTAAATTTGGTGGAGCAGGTTCTTTGGTCGAACCCTTTTACTGTATTCAACACGGTCAATGTTTTATAGTCTCAGACGGTGGTGATCATTCCATTAAAATGTTTGATCTGGGGGGGAAGCTTATTTCTAAATTTGGAAAAAAAGGAAACAAAGATGGAGAGTTCAATGAGCCCCGTTACTTGTCAGTTAACAAAGAAGGATTGCTAATGATCTGTGATGCAGGAAATCACAGGGTTCAGGTATTTGAACTGAGTGGAAAGTTTGTCGGAAAGTTTGTCACAAAGTTTGGAAGTGAAGGTAGTGAGAGAGGAGAGTTTAAGTGTCCAGTGTCAACAGCAAATCTTAGTGATGGAAGGATAGTTGTATGTGATTTTAACAACAACAGAATCCAGGTTTTTGACCAGTTATATTAATAATATGATGTTACCAGTGGTATTGTTGTACGGCTTAAATTGCTCAAATCTAGAATAAGAAACCTTAATTTTTCGAACAACACCATCTCATGAGGTATTTGTCACTGTTGATCTTTTTTAGCTGCGGGGGGTGGGGGGCATTTGGTTGTTCTCACGTGTAATTTGTATTTTCTGTGAATGTAACAATAAATTATATAATCGTGGCTGCAATAATGGCTGTAATAATGGCTGAAATGACGTTCAACTTGTAAATATATTTTGTTATCCTTTTGTCATATGTATTGTAGTCTCATTTAATTTCCGATTATAGTTTAATAAGGTGTTTAAATCGTTTGGTATCAAAATTGTTTTATTATGCTGTACACCTTTCTATTTTCTTTCCAGCAGTTGCTAGTTGTTAGCTAGTGTTTTTTTGGAAATATTATTCCCGAGCCCTTTGCTCAAGTACCATTTTTTTCTAAACAGGTCCGTTAATTATAACATACATTAACCGAACTGTATAACGATTTGTTGAAAACTCATTAAAGGATAATCAGAAATGAAGAATGCTTTTTTGCTCATTTTTAACGTTGTCAATGAGACCGTCATGTGTTGAAGAATGGACCACACTTTCTACGTCCGGTGACCATCTGAGTCACGTGTAGGTCAACTGAGCAGTTTGCAGGACAAGGTCACAGCACATGCAATCGAGCCCCTCTTTAAGCGACACCCGCTTAATAGAGGGTCTCAATGGGGTTAACCGATAGGCGTAAAACGGCCAAAAATTTAGCCGATAGCCGTAAAAATTGAAAAATTTTAACCGTTAGCCGTAATTAGGGTAATAAAGAGTTAACCATAAAAGAAAGTGTTCCCTAGATTTGCTACTTTTAAGGAAGGTACTAAACTCACTTATGGTTGCGTTTTTTAATTCCCGGCTAGTGTGACTCCATACGCACGTTAGGCGAAGCGCCTTTTAGGAGTTAACCTAGACCTAGGCTCCATTTCCGGCGCTCTCTCTGGGAACTAACTAGCGAAAGTGTGGCTTCTTGCTGGGGATTAATATTTGCAATTTTCCGGAGGTCGTGCCCTCGAAACACTAGTGAAACAACACGCAGAGATGTCACTGTTTGTAAAACTCGTTGCCGATAAGCAACATTTCCCTGTTTTCTCTGACGCTACGGTAGACATTGCCATGCCTAGTCCCTGTACGGCGTCCACCCACGCAGTTTCGGTCAAGGCATTTCGGTGGTGAACTCGCTCGGACCACGTGACCCGAAACGCATTAGCCGTGCGGAATAATGCAGCCTACGGACAAGGCAACGGCAGACAATCGTTCCGTAGTCCTTCGCTATCATTAAAAACACTGGACACGGGAATTTTGTTATTGGCCTTTTGACACTATAGCTAGAAATGGATCATCCGTCTGAGACTAGCCTGTGTCTAGTCGCGTCCTCTCCACAGACACCCCTTCTCCGATTTTTTTCTGAGGGGGGGCGGCTGTACACAGGCTATCTGGAACGGATAATCCCGTCTTCAAAAGTCAGGCAGATTGTTCGTTCCAAATTAAAACTATTCCATTTTCAAATTAAGACATATTACCTATCTGACGCGAATCATCAAACGGATAACCCGTCTCACACGAATAATCCTTCTCTAGTGTGAAAACGGCCATTTCTGTTTTAATGAATGTCGCGCCCCGGCTTTGATTTGGCGTTCGTGTGTCTGCTTTTGCTTTTTCACGAAGATAATTTTTCAATTGGCTATTGACATTACTATGTGTAAAATAATATTAGAAGTGAAATACTTTATAAAAGAATAGCATGGAGGGGAGGGGAGAGGAAGGACATTGGAACAGATAAGGTTATCTCCATTCCTCTCCTCTTGTCTCCTCCCCTCTCCTCTCCACTTCTCTGGTCCTTATTTTATGTTATCTTATCTGTTTAGCAATATAGGGCCCCTTTATTGCAGAACTCTCCTTAATCCCCTCCCCTGTCCCTACTTGTCCCCTTTTTCTATTTTCCCTATCGTATCCTTGAGCAATGATAATTTCTCTCCTTCACTCTTCCACATCAAGTCTTCTCTGAGGGCCCCTGGGAAAAGACACCCATATAAACGTGAAGGAGATGCTCGCGGTCTCGTTTTCGGGTGTAACTTGGAGATGTTGATCTCATTTTTCTGTTTAGGATGTGAAGTTACTATATTTGGAAAGCCATTCAGGTATCGCTTAGTACTGTGCATTAAGAAATTTACCAAAAAAATACACAGAAATCTCCCTTAGGGGTCAGTTGAAGCTTGAGCCACATCCACGTATATAAAAGGTTTACCGGTAATTTGAATTTTCTGACGAGCATCCCCGTCACTTTAAAATGGCCGGGCATCCCCGCCTAGGGTTTCAAGTATCCAAATACTGGTCTTGGAGATCCAATTGGTTGCAGTTTACCATGGGCTTTTGGCGTCCAATAAGTTGGTAATCAAAACAGACGAGATGTAATGAATCTAAAGAATGATGTGTGATTTTGTGTAGGACCCCTCCAAGGTTCCATCGTGGCTGTGTGTTCTCGCAGTTTAGTTCCCCACTTCATTATCGCGGATCCAAAGGTACAAGCTTAATTACTGGATAATTATCAACTACTGTGAGGTTTACAAAGAAAGCTTTTTCACTCTAAAATGAGGAATAATACTTTCGAGTTTACATAGGGTGTTATAGTGAGCTATAGTGGAATACGAGAGTACGTGAGTGGCTTTTTCTACATATGACAAGTTAAGAAAAGAAAAGAAACTTTCTGACTAGTGAATTACCTTTCTGGAACAGCTTCTATCGAAGAGATAGCCAGATTTGGTTAGTATTACGTATGTTTTAGTACTACACATGCAACAGAAACGAAGACAAAGTTTTGAGCGCTTTGTTTTTTTTTTGTGTGTGAATGTTGGCCAGAAAACTATTAGAGATTACTTCATGGTTGGTGAGTGCGTACGATTTTTATTCACGAGTTGTGAAGAATCGAAAACGAACGAGTGAGCGCAGCGAACGAGTGAGTTTGCGATTCTTCACAACGAGTGAATAAAAATCGTACAAGCGAACCAACCGTGAGGTAATTTGTTTATTATATATGTACTGAGATATTACAAAATAATGTTAACAACTATCAATTGCGCGGTGAAATCAACACAAAGACCACAACGAGTTGCGAATGATTTTATTCGAGCAAACTGAACGTACAAAACTTCCTACAACATTAAAGTTATTCAATGACTCTGAAGAAAGTGGAACAAAGTCTACTTTTAAACGATTCTTTAACTTTAAATAACAATGAAAATTTTCAGCTTTAAATATCGCCGTTCAAAACCGTAACTAAGATATAAAATTTGAAAAAGTTGACTGTTTTGTAAATCTAATTATAGTAATGCATGCATTCTAATCAGAGTCAGAGTCCAGTACTTTTAGCCTCTTGTACCTCTTTGGAGAAGACTTTACCTCAACTTCTTGGATTGCCAACTTTGGGGATTGATTGAGGCTGTTAATAGAAATGCTGAATTGACCTCCATGAATAACAGCGCCCGTGAAAAGCGACATCGCTTGTTGGTGATGATCTGCCGCCGAGCGACCAGCCGAGCTAGCTGAAGGATCAGTGGAGCATTCTCCAACTTGAGATGAATTAGTTTTCTCTAAGCTATGCACATTCCCGGACATCAGTTCACTTAAAGTACGAGACATTTTTGCTTGCTGTTTTTCAGAAACTACAGAATAATTTGTCACACTTTGAAGATTTTTATGTCCCGACAGTTGAATAATATCTGTCGCTGGGATGTCGTTGTTTGTTAAAGTTTGGATCATTGTTTTGCGACCGCTATGGTTCTTTACATTGGGCCCCAGCCCGGCTTTTTCTGCCATTTTTTTCATTAACGAGTTCAGCTTGTTCACGCCAACGGCTGACTTTGTAAACCATGGTTTAGAAGAATCTTGTTTTTTACAGTTATTTACTGCTAGATAAAATGGCGCGTTGTTGTCGTTCATTTCCGACGGTCTTTTCTCCGCGTAGAATTTGTAAACAGTGACGGGATCTCTTTCACTTCCCTGAACCGAAAACATTTTCGGTTTTATTTGCCTGAAATCTCTGGGATTTTCTCCTGTTCGAGTCTTAGTTTGTCTCTCAGTATACTCTAAAAATTCCTCGCCATTTGTAGTTTGGCGTAGTTGCACATCGCCCCAACACATGTCTCTGTGTTCCTTACAACCACGGAGACCGAAATAGACTGTGTTGTTGAACCAAACTGTATTCAGTAGAGCCTCAGGAGTTGACTTTCCTAACAATCCTTTGTCATACAGCAGTTTTATGTCGTCTTCTGTGAGGGGAACTGAAGCGTTTGGTTTATCGCCTTTGCCTTTCTTCTTGAGATCTCTTTGTTTTGATTTTAATGCCGTTCGTGCTTTTTCAAACTCGACGTCTCTCATAATGCTGTAGCCGTAATTCTTCTTCTTTAAATACCGTTCAAAACTGGCCATCATAGCACGCAAGGAAGTGGGTTCGTAATCTTCGTTGTTTTCTTTCTTTCTTACTGTTATGATAAATTCGCTGATGAATGAACTCAGTTCGTGTGGGGGAATTTCTTCTACAGGCCTTGACTCATCTTTTAGCCTCAAAAACTCCTTAAGCAAAGCAACATTCTGTTCAGTTTTCTTCCTGGTGTTTTCGTTTTCTTGTCCTTCAATAAATTCCTCTACTGAAGTTATATCTGCAAACCTTGAATTGCTCGAAGAAGACGCCATGGTTTTCCTTTTGCCTAGTGACGCCGTCAGTGAAAGGCGGGAAAATCGATACGATTTTTGTCACTAGTGAAAACTTTCGTCTGCGGGTTGTGATTGGTCATACGGTATTTTTCACTAGTGAGAAAAATCGTACAACCAATCAGATTGCGTGTACTCTGCAACGCATCATTTTTATTTGACATATTCATTTTGCAGTAAATCTCAGTACATATATAATATTTATGCAACAGCTATAAGAGCAACGTTTCATCGAGGAATATTGGGTTGACCTTGTCTACTTTTCCTTTTATATTAACGTTTCCTCTTTGTGAGTTTGGACCAGTTTGGAACTTAGAGCTACCCAATTTATAGAGGTTAAGGTGGCAGTTTCTTTACCGTATTTTCCTGCCTACGAAATGACATTAAAGTTTGACACCAATTTAGACAAACCCCACTTAGCTACACAGAAAAATAGACATGTCGTTACACTGACGTATTTCAAATCAAACACTTCGAAAGATAAGGACACTATGTTCTTATATGCGACTATCTTTTTTGTTTAAGATACTGCAGGAGATGCGAAAGACAATGACAATGATGATGATGAGGATGACGAGAATAGAAGTAATGATGATGATATTGATGACTTTGACGAAGACAATGACTCTAAATCAGAGGTTAACCACAAGAAGAAAGTGAATGATGAGCCACAGAAAGAAAAGCGTTGGACACTGCTGAAGGAGAATCACCTAAAAAGAAGGTTTGTTTATATTTAACAGTCCTTCAAACCCATGTCTGGCCTGGCAAAAAGTTGAATGAAAATGGTCCCCATATATTTGACAAGCTGACCGAGTTAGAAGAATCGAAAAAATTTCCTAATAAAACGAAAGTACTTTATGAATGACGTTTTTGCGGCCGCAACCGCCCTGGTAGCTTTAATAAACTCCCTAGGGGCTTGTCATTGGCTGATATTCGTTGTTCTTTCCTTACTCAAAGCCTGCTTGTAAATATGGATCAAAATGCTATCAACAAAGCGAGGACCACCGACAGAAATTCAGCCATCCTAAAGTAAGTAAATGAGGTATGAAAAGAACAGTTTTTGTCCCACACTGCCTTTTGTGCCGAGCTGATTTTGTTACAGCAGGAAAAAGCTGCAAATTAATCAATAAATGAATTCGTTTCATACCTTAAAACTGATAAAAAAAGAAAGAGAGAAAGAAACACACACACACACAACTTTTCACGCAAATGCTATCTAAAGCTTTGTTGTGTAAGCTGTGGAAATTTTTAATAGTTTTCACTTTCATAACAAAACGTTTAGATGGAAATCAAACTAGAGAATGTACTTTCGCACAGTATAGACAGGTTTTTTGACCGGAGCAAAAGCAGGAATTTCTGTTTATTTGATTATTCGCTTTTCGTAATTTCGCCGGAAGATGAAGTTGTTGCCACTCCATGTAAAGAGCAGGAAATTTGGGCTGGAAATTATTGGAAATATTTATAATTTTTAGTCAGTTTTCAGTTATTTTCATAACCATTAACTCCCACACTGGTAAATTGTTATTCTTTTCGTTTGTTTTAGTACCATAACCTACAGTTTCTGTCGTGCAAAAAAATGTATTTTGACATCCTTTTGGTGTTTTTACAGCGCTTGAAAGACATCTTTCATGGACTGACAATTTTCCTCTCGAAAGACCTGAAGATCACTCGAAACTCAAAAGATATATTATTGCGTATCCTTTGAAATACCTTTTTGAGCTATATATTAGGAAAACGTAATTGTCCCTTTAGCCGACAGCGTACGGAACCACACGTTTCCGTGTTTCGTACCCAAAATAGGATTCGCAATGTTTTGAATCCGCACTCGGCTTGAATTCGGCGGATTTAATCCAAATAGGAATCAGCCTCGTACTATGAATCAGTGCTTCTTTAATTTAGGGAAGTATTTGAAGAGAGAAATTCCCGCTTGAAATTTGGCTAGCGGAATGCAAAATGCCCTACCAAGCCCTGGTACAGGCTGTAAATCCGTCTTTGGTTTTGCCGTTTTTAACCGTGATCGGTTTTCATCCATCATTTACCTTGAATCTGAATTCAGAATATTTGCAAAGAAAGGCAGCATGAGCACCGCTATTGCAATTTTGCCCGCGCTTTTTATCTGCCGCGCTTTTTATCTGCCGCGCTTTTACTATAATAATCCTCGATCTATGGATAAAACAGGACAATCACGTTTTTACCCATTCTTAACATGACTGGATAGTTATGACGGAGATTTGGCGGAGGAGTTTGAAAAGACCAGTGCAACACATATTGTTAACAACAGTAGAGGAAGAAGCCGAAAAATAGTTTGCGCACTTTAACTTTTCGTGGTTAAATACAAGGCTGCGAAGAGTTTCTTATTTACAAATTTTTGTGGGTCTTTATAGGACCGGACTAGAAACGGGAAGACAAATTGCAAAAAAAAAATGAGACTCAAAACCAAAGCAAAAAAGAAATAGGGGAGAAAGAGTATTTGCAAAGAAGGAAGAGAGAATAAACCAAAATTCAAGCGTGTTTAAACTCACAAGTAACTGAAGAAAAGTTAAAAAAACAAAACAAACGAAAAAGGGGAAAAAAAGTTATATATAACAATGAAAGCACGCTGACCAAAACATTACACGACCCCCAGTCTGTTTCTACTCGCTACTTTCACTTTTATTGCCCATAATTCACCTTGTTTACTCCCCCTCCCTTCCCGCCCCAATATTTTGCGTAATCATTGCTTTAATCACATCCCCTTTGAATGACTAATACCCAGGAGCAGTTGAAAACAAACAAAATTTTGGGGTGAACAAGATGTATATGGCCAATGTTAGAGTGGCGAGTAGACTCTGTTCTTTCTTTTTGACAACGGAAGCAAGGCTTTGGAGGTGATAACTAAAGCTAAAATATTTTATTAGCGATGTAACCAATGCCTATTCTTATCGCATCCACTCTTCCTTTTTTAGGATGGACAAAAAGAACAATGATCGACCAATTTTGTGTCGCCATCTTGGATTTGGAAGTTGTATCAAGAAGGCCCGTCTCGTACCAGATGATCAATTTCTTGTATAAATTCACAGCACTCAATCACTTTGACGGGTTTCGATTTCTTTTCAGGGTCAATTGCCTGTCAATAACTACAGAACATCTTGAAGTTCTCGTACCTCCCAGCTTCTCACTCAGTAAAGAGAGCGAGCCTGATCAGAGTCCAAGTCGAAGGACGATGAAACGCCTCAATTAAACTCATATTTTGAAAGGTTGTCTTGTAGTGAAAATTTGATAAAGAAAAGATGGTGTTACATCGAGACCAGAAACTATAGTTCGTGAGAATAAATAGCATATCATTCAAAACTGCCTGTTGATCATTTGAGATAAACTACCGTTTTTGGGCGAAGGCGATTTTCCCTCAGTTGTTAGCTGTATATATTTTCTTGCCTTTTTTTTTCCGTTTTCTTCTCTGTGCTTATCGGATTTCAGACGCCGCTCATGAGCCGAACCGAGTTCAGTAAATTAAGTTCAAGTGGTACAGCGTCTTAATGAAGTCGAAACGGATACAGTAAGTTGAACCTCCATGCGTGTGCGATCACTATCGTAAACAACAACCTCCTGTAAGCGACCAAAATTAGAAATTGTGTGCCGGATGAATTATCTTCCATAAAGTAGATGTGTCTAGACCTCTTCTCGTAATAGACCCCCTGTATTTCTATTCTTGTAAACGACCACTTCCCTTAAGCGACCACAAATTAAAGCATTTTAGGTGATCGTTCACGGCAGTTTCAAATTTAATTGAATTTGGATCGGCTTTGCTTCAGCTTGCTGTTCTTCACGCCTGGCTCAGCCGGGAATAACGACTGTGGCGTTTATTCAGACGCCAAACTTCACATTAGTGGAACCCGGCAAATTTATAAATCTTTGTGATGTACTCATCACGAAATTCGCATTTTTTTCCGTTTTGGTGTTCAGATGAAGTAAATAGTCTGAATAGTTATTCCAGGTCAGTTTTATCTTAACATTTTAATAACAACTCATTTCTTTCATGCTCAGTGAACGTTACCTAGAGAACAGAAGCAAACCTGATCTTTAGTTGTTGTTGTTGTTGTTGTTTTTCATTCTAGCAACTGATGATTTAGTGAAAATTTTCTGTTACTTATGCCCCTTTTTCAGTAGAATTTTCTTGCACAATACCAGGGATGACTTGCCCGAAGTTTGATTGATTAAATTTTGCTGGAAACACACATGCACAATCTTGAACAAAATAGATGGAAAGTTAATCTCTACTCGAATCAGGAATGGGAAAAAGTTGCGTTTTGGCCTTTGCGTGGCTTTAGGGCAACGCGCGGGAAGTGGTTCCACCAGTTTATTCTGTCCAAGAACGTAAATACACGCGAGCGTGTAACGTGTTGAATGAACCGTCACAGAGGATCATGCAACAATTCTCGGAAAAGTAGGATATTTTTTTATTCTTCAGTATTACGTTAAACCAACAAAACATGTCAAGGAACTCTATTTGATTGGTTAATAATACAGAGATTAGTCTGGGTCACAAGACAAGATTGCAAAGCCATTCCCTTGATCGTCAACAAGAAGGCAACAATTTTTCAAAACTAACCTCATTTCCAACCATTTTCATGGATATAAAGACCCTGCTGGACAATCTTCATGATGAAGTATCCTGTTCTGTGTGTATGTGTACATTCACTGATCCAAAGCAGTTGCCTTGTTTGCACAGTTTCTGTCTTCACTGCCTGAACGGAATTCAACGAACGAGCGGCGTCCATGGCAAAATTACATGCCCCGAGTGTAGGAGACAGTTTCAGATTTCTGGAAGTGGAAACCCTAGCGAACTTCCAAAGAATTTTCGAATAAACAGCCTGCTAGATGTCTCAGCCATTAAAGAGTGCAGTACGGTCAACGTCAAATGCAGAAACTGCGAGAAACGGAGCGCCCAGACCTTATATTGCATTGTAGGACACAACATAATGCGAGAAAAGAAAGATCACAGAACGCTAGCACTGAAGAATTTTCAAGATCAAGACATCAAGGCTGTATTAGAGCGACCAGCATTTTGTCAGAAGAAACATCATGAAAAAGAAGAGCTGAAGTTCTTTTGCAAGGACTGTAAAGTCGCCATTTGCAACACTTGTGCTGTAACACTTCATGAAGGTCATGGCAAAATGCCCTTGCTAGAAGCTACTAATGAGCGCAAAACACATATCAACTCCATGATTCGATCCTTGAAAGACAAATTAGTGGAAAAACAAGAGAAAGTCGAACAATTCAAACAAAAAAGCATCGCATTTCAATCGAAAGTAGCCGAGGTAAGAGGCCAAGTGCAGTCGTATGCAGACCAACTGATTACAATCATCGAAGTGAGAAAACAAGATGTTTTGGATACGATTGATAATCAAGCGAAAAACACACTGGGATCTCTGTCACAGAAAAAGGACGAAGTTGAAAAACAAATGAAATTAATTGATTCAGCAATTGAACAAAGTGAAACTCTGTTGAAACGAAGCTTTATTACTGAAATCCTGGGATTCAGTGAAACATTTGATAGAATCCTACAGGAACAGAACACCCAAAAAACCAGTGACACTGAATGTATTCCTCGGTTAGCTTCACTAAAAGTGAAAAACTGATTAACCTGTTGAGCATGAGCGAAGGGATAGGAAATGTAGAATTTGTTTTTAGCGAAACTAAAGCGCAACAATCAGAAGCTAAAGTTAAAGAAAATAGTAATTTAGTTGATGCTAATAAAGGGGCAAATGTTCGTGACAGTCGTTTTGAGGCTCAGGTACAAACCAAGCGTTTCAGACCTCTGCTGTCATTTGGACAATACGGTGAGCTTCTTGGAATGCTTTACTGGCCCTGGGGTGTGGCAGTGAATGATCATGATCAAATTTCCGTGACTGAATTTCTGAACCACAGGGTTTCAGTGTTTAGTGGTGACGGTACCCACTTAGGATCGTTTGGTAGGGAAGGTCAGAATAATGGTGAGTTCCGGTCCCCTTCAGGGATCGCTTTTGATAATCATGGTAATATTGTAGTGGCAGACAATAATAACCAGAGGGTGCAAGTCCTTGATTGGAATGGTCACTTTCTTAGTAAGTTTGGTGAAAGAGGAAGTCGTGATCACCAGCTTAAATTCCCTGAAGGTTTATCAATAAACGGCAACGGTGATATTATTGTTGCTGATAAAGGTAACAAATTAATCAAGATATTCTCTTCTAGTGGGGAGTATTCACGTAAATTTGGTGGAGCAGGTTCTTTGGTCAATCCCTTTCACTGTATTCAACACGATCAATATTTTATAGTCTCAGATCGTGGTGATCATTCCATTAAAATGTTTAATCTTGAGGGAAAGTTTATTTGTAAATTTGGAAAACAGGGAAACAAGGATGGAGAGTTCAATAAGCCCCGTTACTTGGCAGTTAACAAAGAAGGATTGCTAATGGTCTCTGATGCAGGAAATCACAGAGTTCAGTTATTTGAACTGAGTGGAAAGTTTGTTACAAAATTTGGAATTAAAGGTAGTGAGAGAGGAGAGTTTAAGTTTCCAGTGTCTACAGCAAATCTTAGTGATGGAAGGATAGTTGTGTGTGATATGAAGAACAACCGAATCCAGGTTTTTGACAAGATATAATATGATGTTAACAGTGGTATTATTGTTGAAAAGTTCACTGAATTGGTTATCAAGAATAAGAAACCTTAGTTTTTCGAACAAAACCATCTCGTGAGGCATTTATTTTTGTTACTATTGACCTTTTCTAGTTGCCGTTGCTGGGGTGGGGGTGGGGGCATTAGATTGCCCTCAATGTAGTTTTGTCTTTTCTGTGAATGTTACAATAAATTATAAAATCGTGGCTGTAGTAATAGCTGTAATTATGATAGCTGAAATGACATTCAAGTTGTAAATAGGAAGTAAACCTTTTTTCAAATGTATTGTAGTCTCATTTAATTGCCGATTGTAGTTTAATAAGATGGTTCATTTTTTGGTATTGAAATTGTTTTTTATGTTGTACACCGTTTCATTTTCTTTCCAGCAGTTGCTAGTTGTTAGCTAGTGTATTAGAAACCTGTTCGGATGTCTTAGACGAGCTTTGGTGGTCACAAAAGTTTTAGGTGGGGGTAGGGGGTTGCTTTCAAGTTGATATGCCCTCTACGAGATGATCAACAATTCTCGGAAATACAGGATGTTTTTTTTTCTTTCATCAAACCGTCCAGAAATGTCAAGGAACCTCATTTGATTGGTTAATAATACAAAGTTTAGTCTGGGTCACAAAACAAGACTTAAAAGCTATTTCCTTGATCGTCAACAACAAGCCTACAATATTTCAAAACTGCTTCCGACCTTTTCCATGGATATAGAGACCTTGCTGGACAATCTTCATGATAAAGTAGCCTGTTCTGTGTGCAAGTGTACACTCACTGATCCTAAGCAGTGTGGACCAAATCACTCTTGCAATCATCGAAGCAAGAAAACAAGATGTTTTCGATGTGATTGATAATCAAGCGAACAAGTCATTGGAATCTCTCTCAGAGAAAAACGACGAAGTTCAAAAACAAGTAAAATTCATTGAATCAGCAAATGTACAAACTGAATTTCAGTTGATACGAAGCTTAACCACTGAAATCCTTGGATTCTGTGAAACAATTGATACAACACTACAGGAACAGATCGCCCGAGGAAACCATGACACTGAATATATACCTCGGTTTAATTTCCGTAAAAGTACATTGCGAATTAACGTGTTGAACAGTGAGGGGATACGTAATGTAAACACTGGTTTTAGTGAAACTGAAGTGTAATAATCAGGAGCTAAAGGTAAAGAAAGTAGTAAATTCATTGCTGGGAATAAAATGACTAAAAGGGCAAATGTTCGTGACAGTCCTTTTGAGGCTCAGGTACAAACCACTGTGCTGTCTGCTGGAATGCTTTCTGGTCCTACGGGGGTAGCAGTCAATTATCATGATGAAATTGCTGTGACTGAATTCTGTAACCACAGGGTTTCAGTGTTTAGTAGTGACGGCACCCACTTAAGATCGTTTGGTAGGGGGGGTCAGAATAATGGTGAGTTCCATTTCCCTAAAGGGATCGCTTTCGATAGTCTTGGCAATATTGTAGTGGCAGACTGCAGTAACCACAGGGTGCAAGTCTTTGATAGGAATGGTAATTTTCTTAGTAGGTTTGGTGGAAAAGGAAGCCATGATCACCAGCTTAGTTACCCTGAAGGCCTATCAATAAATGATAAGGGTGATATTATAGTTGCCGATTTCGATAACAAACTAATCAAGATATTCTCTTCTAGTGGGGAGTATTTACGTAAATTTGATGGAGCAGGTTCTTTGGTCAATCCTTTTCACTGTATTCAACACGGTCAATATTTTATAGTCTCAGACTATGGTGATCATTCCATTAAAATGTTTGATCTTGAGGGAAAGTTTATTTGTAAATTTGGAAAACAGGGGAACAAGGATGGAGAGTTCAATGTGCCCTATTACATGTCAGTTAACAAAGAGGGATTGCTAATGGTCTGTGATGCAAAGAATCACAGAGTTCAGGTTTTTGAACTGAGTGGAATATTTGTTACAAAATTTGGAAGAAAAGGTAGTGAGAGTGGAGAGTTTGAGTTTCCATTATCTACAGCTAATCTTAGTGATGGAAGAATAGTTGTGTGTGACTCGAATAATGGCAGAATCCAGTTATTTGACGGAATATAATATGATTTTACCAGTGGTATTATTCTTGTAAAGTTCAAGTTGATTATCTAGAACAAGAAACTGTAATTTTTCGAACAACATGATCTGGTGAAGTATTTCTCCCTTTTTAACCATGTGTAGTTGACAACAGGTTGCCCCTCACACGTAGTTTTCTTTCTGGTAGATGCTAGTTGTAAGCGTATTTTTGGAAGTGTTATTTCCGAGCCCTTATCTCAAGTACATATTTTTCTCAACTGGTTCTTCAGTGTCGCAATTATCATAAATTAACCAAGATCATATCACGGATCAAGTGTTGAAGATGTAATAAAAGATGATGAAATCGAAAGAACATGTGTCAGGGTCCGACAAATATTAGGCCCGGACGCTCGGGACAAGTTGAAAAGAATGCCGGGCAAGTGTTTTTATTATTTCTAGAAAAAGCCCGCCGAGCCGTAGCATTTGGATTACGAGCAATTTTGCACAATAAATTAAAGATACCCAAGTATTAAACTTTTACCTTGAGTAATTCCCATCGTATCCGTTCGAAATGCAGTAAATACATATCACTTATTTTTACTTTTTGATCGCCATTTTACATTTCTTCGTGAGTTTTTATACCCAGTACTTTCCCGGGTAAACCTCTGAAGGACTGGCCGCCATACCCCCTGATAACATGTTTTTCAAAGTTCAAGGTACGATTGATTATAATTTATGGATAAGGGACGGACCATTTGAAAAGTTATGGGGGGGGAGGGGAATTCTCGAGCCGCAGGAATTTTTTTTAGGCCATAGCATGAATATTTTTTAGGATTAATTGGCATGCATGAATTTTTTCCATTTAATTCTCCCTTGCGCGAATATTTTTTTTGTACTTCGTCCCCCCCCCCGATAAGTTTTCTAATGATCCGTCCCTAAGTTTGTCACGTAATCCTGCGACACTGTTTGTACTCCGGGTACGACAAAGCGAGTCAAAGCCAGTCCCCCATGTTCCTCTTCGACCTGCAGCAACTGCTACAGCTACATCCTCATGTTGTCAGTCGCAAAATCTAACAGTAACTGCTTCAAAAGTAGGTTGAGTTTGATCGTCCGGGTGAATGTAGTCCTGAATAGGGCTGTTGGTGTTGACAGTGACTGACGTTTCGACAACCTGTGCGATAGTCATCTTCAGAGTCAAAGTGAGTTGTATCATGTCAGTTGATGGTATTATCAGCTCTGGTTATTGATTTGATTGGTCAAATACGTCGTGATGTTATTGGTCGTCTGTCAGTTAAGCCGTGATGTTATTGGCTATGAAGACTCGTAATCAGTAATTGGTGCGTTTCGATCCGTCTATTTTCACAGTTAAACAGTCGTCTACTGTTAGTCAAATTGTCAGTTCTCCAGTCGTTCTCTCGTAGTTAGTTTTGCTTGATCTCGTCAATAAGTCGTTTGTACGGCGCTGTAAACGACTATTTACAGAAAACCAACACATACCGACCGATTACTAGACCAGTCTTCGTACAACCCGACCTCTCACAGTTTCTGTCTTCACTGCCTGAACGGAATTCAACGAACGAGCGGCTTCCATGGTAAAATTACATGCCCCGAGTGTAGGAGCCCGGGGGGGGGGGGGCACTTGGGTATTTTTTGGGTGGGTATGTGCCGCCCGGGACTCCAAATTGGCACCCCGATCTAGAAAAAATTTCCCCTAAAATTGATACCCCTTTCTAGAAATGGGCCAATTTTTTATACTCCGTTCTAAGGTGCAACAAGAGTACAACGGTTTGCTTGTTAACGCATTGAACCGTATTTTTAAAAGCAATCTGTCCTTGAATAATTTCAAATGGCTGCTTACAAAAGTAGAGCTTTCGTGCGTTCTAAATATGATACCCCGTTCAAGAAAACGCCTCTGAAATGGATACCCCGTTCTAAATCAGGAGCTTTAAAATCACGATCCCTTTGGGCGGCACATACCCGTCTAGGTAATGTATGGGAGTACCCCCCCCCCCCGGGTGTAGGAGACAGTTTCAGATTTCTGGAAGGATTTCGAATAAACAGCCTGCTGGATGTCTTAGCAATCAAAGAGTGCAGTACGGCCAGTTTTCATCCACTATTTACCTTGAATGTGAATTCAGAATATTTGCAAAGAAACGCAGCATAACCACCGCTTTTGCAATTTTTCCCGCGCTTTTAATCTGCTGCGCTATACTATCATAAGCTTTGATCTATAAAACAGGACGATTTTTTAACCATTCTTAACATGACTGGATAGTTATGACGGAGATTTGGCGAAGGAGTTGAAAAGACCAGTGCAACACATATTGTAAGCAACAATAGGGTAAGCAGATGAAAACTAATTTGCGCACTTTTACTTTTTGTGGTAAGATACGAGGCTGCGAAGAGCCGGGATCTTATGAGAAATTGCAAAAAAAATGAGACTAAAAAGAAAGAAAGAAAGAAAAACGGAAAAAAAAATTGTAAAGAAGGTAGAGGGAAGAAACCCAAAATACAAGCGTGTTTAAACTCACAATTATTAGAAAAGTTAATAATTGAAGTAAAAAAAAACAAAACAAAACAAAAGAAAACAATCAAAAACAAGTAAAAAAAGTTATATGTTTAACAATGAAAGGCCGCTGATCAAAACATGCACTACCAGTCTGTTTTAGCCTGCGTTACAGCCGCCCACGCACTCGTCTGAATCATTTGTATAGTCTCTACCGAAGGTTTAGAGCGTCTTCGACGAAATCAAATCTGTTTCTACTCGCTACTTTCACATTTATTACGTTTCATGATCCACAAAAAGTGTTGTGGGGCAAACAAAGTGTATTTATGTGAAATATGACAGTGGGAGAATAGACTCTGTTCTTTCTTTTTGTCATTGGAAACAAGGCTTTATGGAATTGATGAGCTAAAATATTTTATTAGCGTTGTAACCAATAACTATTAAAATGAATGTTACGTAATTATAGATTCAGTATTTCGTCAAACGAAAATATGATCGCTGATAATTGCTCCTTTGACCGAACAATTGTAATAAAAGTTTGAAAAAAGAAATCAGAATTAGTTTTATACCGCCTTGTGAATCTCATCTCTTTTAAGATTTTCAATGCCAACTGTCTACTAAAAAATAGACGAAGAAAAAATAACTTTTAAAATTTTGTCCCCGAATTCACGCCATAAAAGACGAGGAGCTTCCTTCCTTCCGCTACCTTGGTCTTACTTGTAAGGAAAAACAGTCCCTATTATTCTTCACTGCACTTTCAACCCCTTTGTGGTTGAAAGTCTAAGCTTGGCCCAAAGGTCCACAGAAACTTATAAAGATTTTAATTGTAAAAATTTTCTGCAACTGCCATTTTTTCTGGAGGATTTTGTTGGACAGTATATATCGGCACACGGGGCCCACACAATCTATTGTGTAGCCGATTGTTATTTTATAGTAAATGTACTGGATTTACCGTTTGATTCACCTATAGCGATGTATTGCTAACTATGTATTTAAATCAATGATAAATAAACGTTGAATTACCTTACCTGTGGTGTATAGTCGTCCTTTTGCCTCAAAAGCGGTTTTTTAAGCGATTTTGGATGAGTTTGAGTTCGCCGTTGACACAGTCTAGAGAAAAGAAGGTAGAGGATAAGGAAATGGGATAGAGCTCCTTCACTCTTATATTGCTCTCGCTCCGACTTCAGTCTTGACCACCTCGACGCGCGGAAATGCTTGCCGACAATTTATCCATGCTTCAAAGAGCTGATTAACAATTCTCGGAAATAAAGCATGATTTTTATTCTTCTGTCAAACCACCAAAACATGTGAAGAAACTCTATTTGATTGGTTAATAATACTGTGTTTAGTATGGATCACAAAACAAGACTTCATTGTTTATTCGCAAAGCCATTCTCTTGAAGCTTCTTGATCGCCAACAACTAGAGGCCAAAATTTTATGAAAAGTAACCTTGTTTCCGACCTTTTCCATGGATGTAAAGACCTTGCTCGACAATCTTCATGATGAAGTATCATGTTCTGTGTGTATGTGTCCATTCACTGATCCAAAGCAGTTACCTTGTTTGCACAGTTTCTGTCTTCATTGCCTGAACGGAATTCAACGAACGAGCGGCGTCCGTGGTAAAATTACATGCCCCAAGTGCAGAAGACAGTTTCAGATTTCTGGAAGTGGAAATCCCAGAGAACTTCCCACTAATTTTCGAATAAACAGCCTGCTAGATGTCTTGGCAATTAAAGAGTGCAGTACAGTCAACGTCAAATGCAGAAACTGCGACAAACGAAGCACCCAGACCTTATATTGCTTCCAGTGTTGTTCATTCTGGTGTGACGAATGTATTGTAGGACATAACATAATGCGAGGAAATAAAGATCACAGAACGTTAGCGCTGAAAGATTTTCAAGATCAAGACATCAAAGCTGTTTTAGAACGACCAGCATTTTGTCAAAAGAAACACCATGAAAACAGAGAGTTGGAGTTCTTTTGCAAGGACTGTAAAGTCGCCATTTGTAGCACTTGTGCTATGACACTTCATGAAGGTCATGGTAAGATGCCCTTGCAAGAAGCTACTGTTGAGCGCAAAACACAGATAAACTCCATGATTCGATCTTTGAAAGACAAAGTACGTGTAAAACAAAATGAAGTCGAACAATTCAACCAAAAAAGCATCGCATTTCAATGGAAAGTAACCGAGGCAAAAAGCCAAGCGCAGTCTTGTGTAGACCAAATTATTGCAATCGTCGAAGCGAGAAAACAAGATGTTTTTGATGCAGTCGATAATCAAGCGAAGAAATTATTGGAATCTCTCTCACAGAAAAAAGAAGAAGTGGAGAAACAATTAAAAATAATTGAATCCGCAGTTGAACAAACTGAAACTCTGTTGAAACGAAGCTTTAGCACTGAAATCCTTGGATTCAGTGAAACATTTGATACAATCCTGCAGGAACAGAGCACCCAAGAAAACCGTGACACTGAATGTATTCCTCGGTTTAGTTTCACTAAAAGTGAAAAACTGATTAACCTATGAGCGAGGGGATAGGTAAAGTAGAATTTGATTTTAGCGAAACTAAAGCGCAACAATCAGGAGCTAAAGGTAAAGAAAGTAGTAAAGTAATTGCTGGGAATAAAGGGGCAAATGTTCGTGACAGTCCTCTTGAGACTCAGGTACAAACCAGGCGCTTCAGATCTGTGCTGTCATTTGGACAAAAAGGTGCGGCTGTTGGAATGTTTAACGCGCCCTATGGGGTGGCAGTGAATGATCGTGATGAAATTGCTGTGACTGATACCTGGAACCACAGGGTTTCAGTGTTTAGTAGTGACGGCACCCACTTAAGATCGTTTGGTAGGAAGGGTCAGAATAATGGTGAGTTGCATTGCCCTAAAGGGATCGCTTTTGATAGCCATGGCAATATTGTAGTGGCAGACTCTTTTAACCACAGGGTGCAAGTCTTTGATACGAATGGTAACTTTCTTAGTAAGTTTGGTGAACAAGGAAGTCTTGATAATCAGCTTCAATATCTTGAAGGTTTATCAATAAACGGTAACGGTGATATTATTGTTGCTGATACCGATAACAAATTAATCAAGATATTCTCTTCTAGTGGGGAGTATTTACGTAAATTTGGTGGAGCAGGTTCTCCCTATTGCTGTATCCAGTGCGGTCAACATTTTATAGTCTCAGATGCTGGTGATCATTCCATTAAAATGTTTAATCTGGAGGGAAAGTTTATTTCTAAATTTGGAAAACAGGGAAACAAGGATGGAGAGTTCAATAAGCCCTGTTGCTTGTCAGTTAACAAAGAAGGATTGCTAATGGTCTGTGATTCAAAAAATCACAGAGTTCAGGTATTTGAACTGAGTGGAAAGTTTGTTACAAAGTTTGGAAGTGAAGGTAGTGAGAGAGGAGAGTTCAGGTTTCCAAGGTCTTTAGCAAATCTTAGTGATGGAAGGATAGTTGTGTGTGAAATGAATAACAACCGAATCCAAGTGTTTGACAAGATATACACTGTAAAAACTGACCAGTTATAGTGACCTCAAAAAAATGGTTAAGGTTTGAATCCCAGGTAACCGTATTTTATTAGGTTACAGTAACCAAAAAAATATGGTTCAGGTTAACCATTTTTTATTCCCGTTGAAATAACTTTTCTTTATGGGTTACATTAACCCTTAAAAATGGTTGTTTCTACCACAGCCCACGCCACTTCTTATGACTTTTTTGTCATAACCTCTACTTTTTGGTTAAACTAACTTTAAATTTTTAGTTGTCATAACCGAAATAAAAAGATAAATATGTTTCAACCCATACAGATAAGTTATAATAACCATTTTTTGTGGTCATGGTAAACCAGTTTTTTGGGTACTAGTGGTGAATCTGTGGTAACCCATTTAAAATAGTCAAGAGGTGGTAGCTTTAACCATTCCATATGGGTTAGAAGAAAACGGTTGTTTTAACTGATAATAATGAATTACGTTAACCTCACAATAATAGTCTTCAGCAACATTTTTAATGGTTATGTTAACCGTTCTCTACAAAGAACAACAACAACATAGTTGACCACTAACTTCATAAAAAAGATAATCATACAACATTGCAAGTAAAAAATGCTTATGTTTCTTAATTCAAGTATTTAAAGCAGAACAAGGAATGATTAAACAATCAGCCATGCTTCCTAAACTATAGCAAATTTAAATTGGAATACTGCATGTCTCTCACAATACTGCAAAACAAGACTTCGTACACTGGCATATGATTGTAAAACAGAAACATCCTTAAGCAGGAAAAAATTCAAGTAACTCCAGGATCATTAGTGATACAGTACTTTGATTAAATTAAACCCTTAAGGTATAAGTGCCTTTCCTGCCAAAAATGCTTTGTCAAATACACTGGGAATTAAGAATTTCGTGAGATTCAATGAAATAATAATTGTGAGATCTTGCCAGTGAAGAGTTAACTCCTCACCCATTGTACATGTAACTTTCTTTCTTTGGCTAATTATTGAAGCGGAGCATATGATCTAAAAGTACCAGTGCCCTTCATTGTTCTACAAGCCATGTTTTTCTACTAGAAAGCAAAAAAAGATCCTATTCCAAGCAGTGGCTCGTTGAGGGTAACTCATCCGCCGGATCAGGACTTGTCTTGCTTGTAATGAAAATATGGGTACTCGCCGAGCTTCATTCAAAGTTGGTTATTCCCTCAGTCGTTCAAATTTGGTGATATTTCTGAAATAAACGAAAATATTTCGTTTTTAAGTTCACTGGTTAACGCACGTAAAATTTCAGTCTTTCAGCGATACGCCTGTGGGGAACACGCACGCACGCGTGTGCGTGGTCATCGTGAGCAACGCGCGACTCAAAGCTACGTTAAAAAAAAGCTTTGTAATAGCGGATGATAGCTCTGTAACAGCAGTACAATATTGCAATTAAGACGGTCATCCGAAGACCGGAAAATCTATGCAACTGTACTGAACATTTAGAAAACTTTAAAGGGCCACGCAAGTGCGTGGGGTTGTCTCAAAACGCGTCTATTTATTTGCAAAAAGATAATTTTAAAAACGATTTAGAGTTCTGTTTAAAAATAAGCAATACATACCGGTCATGCTGTTTCAGTGAAGGTCGGTGAAACAAGTCTCCGAGATTTTGCCCGTGTTCATTTGTCTTTAGTCGACGAGGCAGATATTTTGCTTATCTATTTCAGGCGGTCAACTGAAGTAAATTCTGTCATGATCTTCTTATCATCCTCCTTTGAATAAAAGATTTGCAAGGTATTCGTTAGCTAAGAATTTTGTAGAACCAGTGAAGACTGAAATTCAAGTGAGTAATCTATTCTGAAGACGTTGTCTTCCGACTACCCTGTGAGCAGAGTCTCCTTCGATCTTCCTAGATAAGAAGATCGAAGGAGACTCTGCTCGCAGGGTATCTTTGGACTTGCATAAATTTGAAATCACATTACCTTTTTACTTGCCACATCTCCATTGCTGTCCGTGACTAAGAAACGAGCTCCCATTGACTTTTAACTGAGGGGCTTTATCCAGGCGAAATATAAAATGTTTCTTTTCGCAGCAATGAACCAAGAGTACGTACTGAATTCAGCTTGGCGCAAGGCGGTTAAACTAAAAAACTGAACTATGAGAGCCGAATTTGGCATTGATTTTGAAATTCCAAGTCTCTCATTGGCTAGCTAAGTAGATTAACGTCAAGGTGTTAAGTAACATACTACAGTTGACAGGAAACAATGCAACATTTTCTAAAAGCCCTTAGTTGTCTTTCGAGTAAACTCGCCTAACATGTTTCCAACCATGAAATAGTTTAAGCTTATAAAAAGGTTACTGAGTAAGATTTTTAATTTACTGAGAACATTTAACGCCATTTAGGGTTCGTGACGTGACGAAATAGAGTTACTTTAGGTCACTTAAGACAAATACCGGAAACCCGCTGGAATTTTGTGACCGGTGAAAAACACGAAAGTATTTTTTGAAAACACGCGAGGATAGATGTTGGCTTTTCGAGGTGCTCAGCATTGATTTGAATGACATAACCTGTACAGGACATCTTGAAGAATCATTTCACCTAGATGACGATTAGTTCTCTCGGCTAGTCCGTCGAGGGAAACGTCAGAGAAGAAAATAGTCCTCGCGTCACGCGACTTCGCCTCTCCCGCGCGCGTACCAGCCCAGTCATTGAAGCAAGACTCGAGTTGGATGCAAGTCATTTAAAATATTTTAACTGTTCTGGAAAGTTGATTTGGCTATTCAATCTTAACCTATCCTAAATCCCATAATAAATGCTGATTATTTGTTCTTTCTTCAGCGTAAGGGAAAAGTCTGCGTTGAAGGTTGGGTACAAGGCTTTTATGATCTGTTGTTGTAAACTCATACCCGCCGTTTGTGTTGCCATTTCCTTCTGTGGTTTTCCGTTCAGTTTAACCCCTCGGAAAAGTCAGTTTTGACCATTCAGTGTTTAACCTACTTCATAGCTCTAAATAACAGATCATTATTGGTTAGTCATGACCAACAAATAGTTAATAAAAGATCTTAACCAACTGATTTCAGGTTAGATGCACATTTTTACCATTTGCTTAACCATTTCGTTTCGTTATTTTGACTGCCATGAAAAGTTATTTTGACCTGTCGATATTCTAACGGAATTATAACCGTCAAAACAACTGCTGATCATTGGTTAATCTAACCAATAACATAAAGGTTACGATTTTAACTAGTTTATTTTAGGTTAAAATTACCTTTTGCAACTGGTTATAACCTTTTAATACAGTTACCATAACTGGTCTGTTTTTACAGTGTAATATGATCTTACCAGTGGTATAATTATTGTTGAAAAGTTCAAATTGGTTATCAAGAATATGAAACCTTAATTTTTGGAACAACGCCATCTCGTGAGGTATTTGTCACTGAGTCACTGTTCAGTGACCTTTTCTATTTGTCGTGAGGGGGGGTCGAAGGGGGGGGGGCATTAGGTTGCCCTAACAAACAGTTTGTCTTTTCTGTGAACGTAGCGATAAATTACAAAATCGTGGCTGTAATAACAGCTGAAATGACACTCAACTTTTGTAACGTTTTTTTCAAATTTATTGTAGTCTCATTTAATTGCCGATTGTAGTTTAATAAGGTAGTTCACTTTTTTGATATCAAAATTGCTTTTTTATGTTGTATACCTTTTCATTTTCTTTCCAGCAGTTGCTAGTTGTTAGCTGGTGTATTTTTGGAAATATTATTCCCGAGCCGTTAGCTCAAGTACCATTTTTTTTCTCAACAGGTTCTTCAGGTCCTTTAGTTATAACATATATTAACCCAATTGTGTAATAACGATTTGTTGAAAACGCATTAAAGCGTCATTAAAGGACAATCGAATATAAAGAATGGTTTTTTTTCTTCAAATTTATCGTTGTCAATGAGACCGTCATGTGTTGGAGTTAAACGTACCAGTTTCCTTCATTCAAGTTTAAATGTATTTAGCACCAGAGTACTATATTGAGGACACTATTTTTACCTCCCTATTCGGAGAGTGAATGGACCACCATTTCTATGTCCAATGATCAGCAGGGGAGCCAAGTATTGGTCTACTGAGAAGTTTACAGGACAAGACAGGACAGTCAAATCCCGCTTAATACACACACCTCAATTTTTGTCCGTGGGAAAAAATGCCCTTACATTGTCTCTTGATTCAACCCTCTTAATTCGGACACTTTCTATGGCCCGTCAGTGTCTGTAGTAACGGGGTTTGACTGTACCTTCCTCCTTAGTTATTTAGGACCCTCATTATTGGGCTGGCTTCCTGTACTTCACCATCCTACAGTCAAACGCTCTACAGGGTGAGCTTATCTTTTCGTTTTAACTGTAGAAACCCACCATAGACGCTTCAGTTCAGTTCATGTACTACGCGCTGAACCTAAGTGTAACCTGCGTAGAAAGCCCATGAAGGGGATGGGAGAGGTAGGACATGGGAGCAGATCTCCTCCCCTCTCCTCTTCTCTCCTCTCCACTCCTCTTGGCCTTATCTTATTTACCTTAAATCCTCTATTTAGTCCTCCCTCTCAAATAACCCCCCTATTTGAGGATGAAAGTTAAGAAGTTACCCCCTCTCATTTAAGTCTCCCCTCGCGCTTATTATTCTTCAAAATGATAGACTGTATTAATCAATCATGACTGTTTACACACTGTCCAACCATCCCGATCTCGTCGGGCTTCTCCCGATTTTGTTTGAAAATCCCGAATCCCGACCAATATGCGATGGGATAAGAATAATCACGATTTTGAAATCTGTTTTGATAAATACACAGGAGCACCTAACAGAGTGTACTTAATTGAAACTGATACCCAAAAAACTTAAATATAGAATATAAAACAAAATCGAGTACTTGTATGTAAAAACACGCAAATAAAAAAAGGGAAAAAAACAATCAATTTAGCGAAAGAATAGCGTTTCAGAGCATTAAAATTTCAAAATTTTCTGGGGTAGCATGCTTCCAGACCCCGCTA